GGTAATCGTAGCATTGAGGGCCACAGAAAGATGTCAAAACCCTAGGAAACGAATCTTCGGCTGAACTCCATTAAAACGTATACTATCCTTTAAAAACTCCATTGGAGTACAAGATTTGATCTGAGAATCTTTGATACTCTACGGTTGAGATGTTTTCTTTACAACAAGGCTATGAGCTGGTCTTTCAGCCCCCTTTAGTTTTTCAATCAGATCAAATCCTTCAAGATCTGATTATGGATCATACTTTACTGAATAACAGTAGTCTTAATACTAGGAGTGGGGAAAAGGGTCAACAAAAATCAGTCAGTTTTCAAGAAAACAAGGGTGAAAGTACTTTTGATGAATCCTATATTCGGAAACTTGTACATAGAGATATTGAAAGGCAGAGAAGGCAAGAAATGACTAAGCTTTATGCTTCTCTTCGATCACTTGTTCCGCCCGAATACCTAAAGGTGAATTCATCATTTGTCATTATATTTATTCTTAAGGATTTACGATAACGATAACCCTAAATTTATTAGGAGCAGAAGACTGTTTTTTCTTGTTGATATATGTTTCTTTTTCTTTTTTAAATATACATCTAACATGGTATTCATGGTGTTTTAGGGTAAGCGGTCGATATCAGATCACATGCAAGAGGCAATAAATTACATAAGAGATATGAAGATTAATATCAGGGAACTACAAATTCGGAGAGACAAGCTAAAGAAGTTGTCTAATTCAGGCAACCTTAAAGCCGAGGTTGGAAGTTCCACTTGTTGTTCGTCTGATTTAGTCACGGTGAACCCTTGCCTTGATGGCATAGAAATTCTAATCAGTTGCAGCTTCAAATTAGAGGGAGAATTCCCCCTTTCCAAAGTGCTGACAGAATTACTGGGAAGAGGACTTAATGTTGTTAGTTGTGTCTCTACAAAAGCAAATGAAAGGTCACTCCATAGAATTCAGTGCGAGGTACAATATTAGGTAGCTAATGATGTATTGCCAAATTTAGGTTTAGGATCTGTCAAACATTAATTCATGTTTTTTATAATATTCTCTTACTGATCATCCTTCCAGGCCACCAATTTCAAATGCAATGATCTGTCCACGCTACAAGAAAGACTGGCTGAGGTGATTAAAATTGGTCGCGAGACCCCTTACAAAAATGTATGAAGCAAATGAACATCCGACACATGGCTTCGTGTCTTTTCTTAAGCATCGGTTCTTTTTTCCTCAGTTCTTACAATAGGTACTTGCAGTTCGTATGTACTTTAATATTCAGTAGCTAAATGGATGGAGGTGTCCATGTATTGGCCAGTTTCAAGTATGCAACACTTTCAAATTTCCTTAATCTGGTAGTGTAAAAATTAAGCTTATTAATTTTCTTCTCACAACTGCAAGAGAGAAATTAAACAATCAATGAAACATTCTGATGTTACCAAAAATCGTCATCTATTGATTCTCGAGCTTGAGGATTGAGACGATTACGAACAAAATCTCCGACACCTGAACAAAGACGTCGATGTGTGTCATTGTTGTCCATCCGATGCTTAAGTTAGTGGATAGGGGAAATATAAGCGTAAAACTATAAATTGAATGTAAAAACGTACCTAAATAATGAATTAGAATCTTTATTTAAAGATGTCAGTAGTACACTCTTGATAGAATTATGCTTGAAGCCTTATCTATTTAAGAGATATAAAAGACTTGAGTAATTCAATATGAGCGCAAGAGTTTTAAGCTACTTAGAATCCAATCTTATCAAAGTTGGATAAGTTTGAAGATAAAAGTAGAGTCCTACTAAAGTATATTTTTTTGAGATATAGAAGGGAACAAAGGTAAAAACTCGAGATGACGTAGAATCTCAAGTGTGACAATTAAGCTCGATGAAGACACCTTGGAAAACTCTCAAGATGATCAGAAATAACCTCGAGCATTGTTGTTCGGGGTTGATCAAAAAGGACCATATCACACCTTTTTTTTTCCAATTAAATGCTCTTGGGATCAGAAGCACCTTATCGATGCAGCAAAGCATGAGAATCAAGAACACAAAACCAATCTTGTTCATTCACTCACAGTACCGAGATGGATTGAGAACTCTCCAAATTTTATTAATTAATAAAAAAAAAACACGGCAATGTTCAAATAGTGTTCCTAGGAAAAGAAACCTTAAAACCTAATTAAGTACCTAAATAACATTAATTCTGCCAAAACTGAGAAAAATCTGGACATTTTGCAAAAGAATGTCCTGAAGGACATAAAAATACTCCTACTATACATTCTGATATTGAGTATTTTTCATTTTTATGATTGATTGAGGAAAACACTTTGTGTCATATATTCAGAATCGTAACCTTAACCCGATCGAAACGAAGAGTTGTTCAATATTTTGAAATTTCGCAGATGTATTATATTTTTAACGATTGTCGATTGCATGACAAAGTAGGACTGCAGTTGGTTTGAAGGCCATCTTTGTGATCCCTCTAAAGTAATTTTCTTTTTGATATAAATAAACTCCTCGCCTTCATGGTTTTAACAATAAATAAATAAAAGAAATTTGTTTCCAAAATTTACTATCTGTTGTCCATATTCCATGATTAATTGGTATGCGCAAGAAATAAGCCAATTTGATGACTTTTTGTTCAATTTCTCGTGAAGTCAAATTCCCAAAAAAATTAGATAAAGAACTGAATATTCTTTTTATAAGTGCTAAATTAGTAAATTACAGTAAATTGTTAATTTAATGAAAATATAGTAATTAGTTGGGTATGTTATATATCTCGTTAAGAAGCCAATTATTCCAAGCATTGACTGAAATAGTCAATTTTTTTAGTTTAATTTGATTTTAACTAAAAATTACTACCAAATTACCAATTATCTGATGAAAGCTTGTAAAAAGTGGTTTCCACAATCTTGGAAAGAGTTCGATTTTGTAAAAGTGCTAGGACTTTGACTCCGCCTATATTTCATTAAATTGATCTCATCAATGTTCCTAAATTCCCTAACAGTCTCTCTCGTAAAGTTAAACATAATTCTATATCGAACTTTCTATATCTCCAGGATAGTTGTGAATATATAAAGTTGCAATAAAGATGGTGAAAATTCAAACAAATGATTATGTAAGCATAACTGTATATTTCTATCATCTATCAAACTCACGTTGTTTGCTAAATAGTGCTGTTCATATTTCGTTCATGAGGTCTAGTTTCTTAAGCGCGTCTGTTGAATTGAGTGCTTCCCCAACTAATGCAAGCTTGGTTAGTTTTCAATTAATAAAGATGGCTACCTTAGATTTATGCATTTTCTGTTTTCTTGGATGCAGTTTCTAGACAGTTAATAATATGTAGCAAGGCATACCTGTTTGTGTATGCATGTAACTAGTTTACTCAAAATTGTTAGTGTGATTAACCGCTGCAGTGATTTAATTGTATAGGATTGCAAGAGGAAGTGGACAAGTGATAGATGTGATCATGGGGTTGTTAAAATTCACAAGTCCCTAACTCGGAATAGCAACTGATTAGTGCATGTTTGGTACACAGTATTAGATGGTAGCGTTCAGTACTATCTAATTCACCTTACCAAACATGCTGCGAAAGTATTCAGCAGTTTCTGTGGATCCACTGTGTCGTGTGATACATTGGCATTGCTGGAGTTGTCATTAATGTTCCATTACTCTCAAAGCAAGGTGATAATGGTTCGTTTCAGCTCTTACAAGGTACAGGAGGAATGAACCAGTCCTAGTTTTGGGAACACTTGACCAACTAAACACCAGGTCTTGGCGTCAATTCATTATATTTAGTAATAGGTTCGTAACACTGTTACATCTGATTTTTTATTTGTATTGGTGGATTAATTGCAGTGTAACTACCAACTGTTTATGACAGGAGCAAAATAAAAGTCTAGTCATGTTTAGCATTCAGTTTTGATATTCTAGCTTTCGGTCCCAAACATATAAGAGCTCTTGGCTAACATCTAGATTTAATGGCCATTACAAGTTCCTTTAGGATTATCAATCTTTACACTAGCTTCAGTTTATTGCCTTCATCGAAAGTGTTGACTTAAGATGTGAAGCTTCACTTGATGGTTGGCCATTTATTGCTTTTGCTGGACAAAATTACTCTCTACCGAGCGCAATTTTTGATTCATTGACAATCAGAAGTAGGAATCCAAAATCAATTCCAAAGGGCATAACTTACAAGCAAACGTTCAATAAGTTGTATTCCATATAAAGAACAAGGGAAGAGACCTAGCAGAGAGGAAATGGGAGAGGGTTATTTGCATAAATATGGCATTCTTTTAAGAGGCGATGTTGTAGTGATACAGTCGGCAGTGGTCTGCATCTTTGAATGGCTGTGGCGTGGTGAAATTCTCCATTATTAGGCCTCGAAACTAAAGATGAGATAGTGTGAGTTTGCGTTTTCCAAGAAAGAGTTCACAGTTAAACTATTTATACCCTACCTAGTTGAATTATTTATCTATGGCAGAATGGTAAGATTACTCTCACTTGCACGTATTGATACATATTTCTTACGTGATTTAACTACAATACTGAGAGATCACTAGATAGGTCTCAGAAGATAGAAATAGCCCAACAAAATTAACAGCATTGGCCTGTCATGTGCCTGTTGAGGGCTTTGATCAGGTTTGGCAATGATCAGGGCATTCATCTGTTAAATAAGTCTAAACCGGTCAATGCATGATATAAGTAATTTAGCTATAAATCAATTCGTGACAATTATAAAAGTAAAAAGTTCATATTCCTCAATATAAACAGATTCCAAAATCAATACTGAAATCGAGTAAACGTTTCTTTTGAATATCAATTTCCAATCATCAATGGGTGAATCTACAAGACATGCAGAAAATCCAATTGCTACAAAATTGTCATAAATCTGTCTTACTTCAAAGAATGTTGACCACCTAACTGCTCTTCTGCATAGGTTAGAAACTCCAACGATAATTTTTGAAATAGAGAACTGGGAATGAACTTGGAACTAGACACTTTCAAGAATCAACCATCCAAACATGAAAATGAATCCGCACATCAAAATGCAACTAAATGCTCTTTAGCTACTAACATCAACATTTTGTATCATCCAGTCTACTAGGGTATTACAGAACTTGAGAGCATTGCCACCTCTTTCATGCAAATCAATGTAAGACATAAAGTTCTCTAAAGTGCAGAAATCATATAAATAGTAGATAAAAAAATTAAACTGGTCCATGAAAACACCAAAATTATATAAATATTTGCTGTTTATGCTTCTACGAACTTCTTGAGGTTCTTTAGCCAAGTAACGTATTCTTTGCTGTCTTTGCCGATCATGTACTCATGCAAGAAATTGGTTGTGCTGGGCTTGATTCCTCTTATCTCTAGATACTTGTGAAAAGCCTTTTGCAGATTTTCATCCAAGTCCCTGAGAGAGAAGAAGCACCATTTGCATATTATGTGGAAGAGAAAAACAGAGCACTCAAAATAACATAAACAGGATATGGAGCCATATTTTCTTTGGTAGAAAAAGATAGTTAAATACTCACGAGAAATCTGGTCCTTCATAGGCTATTTGTTCTTCCGAGCTATTAGTATCCTTAACAGACAAGCTGTCGATTGCAATCTCATCAGGGTATGCCGTACAGCCAAACTCTAAAGAGGGTCCATTCCTCTTTGAAACTCTGACGACAAGAGGTATACTCGACTGAGCACCTCTTTCTTCATCATCATTGTCATTGTCATCATCATTCTCCTCACCAGTTACAAGGTCAGGCATGTGAACTTCGACATTGATAGTTTCACCCTGATAGTCTCTGGTCAGGGTTATGGTTTGTTGTCCGGGATGGTCTTCAATTTCAAAAGGGAAGCCCTGAGGCACCTCTGCAACCTATAAGACAAATCGATTAACCAAGATGGAGATTTATCAAAAGAAAGTTTCATTGTTGACTACATTTCACAAGATCAATGGAAAATACACGCATATATACAAATGATATTAGAAAACTTTCGAGTGGAGTAATAGATGATGATTTATAATTAACTGCAATAATGCTACAAAGTGCTTATAAGCTACGGAAATCAAATTGAAGCAAAAAATCACCAACCCTTCGCTTCCATTGAAGGTAATTAAGTGAATGCAGCAGAGATATTTGAATAAAATCATAATATATTCCAAGAATCAATTGAAAAACTAAAGATAAAATAAAATCTCAAGATAAATCCCAGATGCATCATCCCCTTATTTTCCATCGTTTTCTTGCAAAATATACATATAACAAAGACAAGTTATTTACATAAAGATGTTAAATAAATAAAAGAAATAAAACCTCGTCATCGTCCTCGCCCTCCTGGGCACACTGAATCTCGGATTCGATGACTCGCAGGAGTGACTCATCAGAGCTCGGCTTTTTAGTGGAATAGTGATGAATGGAAACCGGAAACGACCTCGGGAACAACTTTCGAGAGAGATCACCGTGGGTCTTCATAGCAGCGAGAAGGGGCGAGCAGTGGTGGTACCTTTGATTTCCAGATGAAGCCCGGATGGCAAAAGGTACAACTCTTGAAGCTGTTCTCCGGATTGTGTTAGCGAGTGCCATAATTTGTGAGTGAGATTGACGTCCTTGAGGGTTTTGGTGAAAGAGGAGGCTTCTGGTGTTGTTTAGGGTTTAGGGTTTTAGGATTTATATATATATTTGGGGGGAGCAAAGGAAGGGGGTATTGGTGGCATTTCAGTCTTCTAATTTTTTTTATCCGGTGTGCTTCCCTTCATGGAGCCATCCATGGGTTTCATCAAGTTTCTCTTTTCATTTTAGCATTCATTATGGAATAAAAGATGATTTTTATTTAATACTTATGATATTTGGGTATGAGCATCTCCAATGAATCGATCGATTCTTATTTTATTAGTATATCAAAGTGCGTTTGTATGAAGACGTCTAATCACGTATTATCGTCGCATTCAAGTTCCAAGTACTCCCTCGAATAGCGAACTCATTACAAACTTGGATATATGACTATGAAGCTTAATAGGTATAAAATATATGAAACTGTGGAATGAGACTTTATTTTAACTGTGATGGAACACATGGGATTTCTAGATCATTGGAAATCATTAGTGAGGTTAGTTGAAAAAAATGTATATCACTCCGCATTCCCAATATCTTCCTTTCGATTAATAGGGTTCCACACGGCACAAAGTAAAATTGAAAATTTAAAAGTGAATAGTGTTTGATTAGTATGAAATACGTAGTTAAAATTAATTGTTAATTTTGACTAAATTTAATGAGATTTTTTAGCTGATCAAACAGGGGCTTAGAATTTTAAAAGTAAGAGTAATGTTTAAATTTAAAAGTGAATAGTGTTTGATTAGTATGAAATACGTAGTTAAAATTAATTGTTAATTTTGACTAAATTTAATGAGATTTTTTAGCTGATCAAACAGGGGCTTAGAATTTTAAAAGTAAGAGTAATGTTTGAAATATTTTTTTCTTCTTTAAAAGTAAGAGTAGGAAGGCCTATGACTCGGGGACAGAGTCCGGAGGGACAAAAAAAAAAAAAAATTATCTACTAAACTAATACATAAACACTAAAAATTAAATGAGCTTAGCCTTGCCCCCACTCCCTACGCATTATAAGGATAAATACATTATTAGTGGCCAAAATTGAGGGAGTTACAAATTTTGCTACATAATGGAAGATTGAGGTTGATTATACTAAAAAAATGTTAAGGGTAAATTGTTTATATTCTGCAAAAGTTGAGGATGAAAATACAAATTTCCCTAAAATAAAAGATTGATGATAGAAAAAACTATACAACCAAAAAATTGATTTGCCTTGGTAGTCATTAAAAAGAGTCTTTTATGAAAAATAAGTTTTAAAATGGAGATTATTTTGGAGAATGTGTGGTTAAAAAATAGAAAAAAAAATTGTGGATTAATGTGTAAGATATTTTATTGTATGAATATGTGGTTGAAAATGAGTTAAAAAAATTTCTAAAACAATCGATGACAAACTAATAAACCAGCCACAGTGGGGTTTTTCCTTTTTCCATTCAGCGAAAACAAATTTCATTTGAATCTAATGAGAATGTCGGGACAATCTGAGATCATCCCACTTTCCCATCTTCCTCGGGAAAAGAAACCAACCTCTTGAAGATTCAATCTTTACCAAATAGACAAACTGATATAGGGGGAGATGAAGAAACCTTTTGGGAGTCCAGGGAAAGCAAGTGGTCTGATATTACGGATAGGGCAATGCTTGTTTTCAACAGCTTCAATTGGAGTGATGACTTCTGCTTCTGGCTTCTCTACTGTTACTGCGTTTTGGTATTTCTATTTTTGTCGCACGATGCTGTTTTTTCTTTTTATTTTTGTCTTTGATAGCGGGGGGTTCCACTTTTCATTATATTTGGGTTATTAGTTGGTTCCATGAGCATTTTGATCAGTTCCATTTAAAGGAAAAAAATATAAAATTAAGCCCATTCTGAGAGAAGAATCCTGGCAAATATATATATATCTTCCTTTTGGCAAATTACTAAATACTGTATGTGGGAAGGGTTGATTGAGCCAGAGAAACAGTGCAGTTTATAATACCCGAAATTATTGTCTTGATCAATACAATTTAATGCATGCCATTGGTCAAACTAAGGGTGAGGTGAACAACACATCAATGAGGATATGGGCAATCAAAATCGTTGAGGACCAAATACCCACGAGAGCCGTAGCAAGCTTGAGAGGGCAATTGTGATTGCTTATCTGAATCTTATTTACCCTAATTAAGTTTGATTCATGCATTCAGCAATTAGTTCTTCCCTATAATATTCGGAATGCACAACTGCTATTTGAATGGAGATGAACTCAATTGCATATTATGTGATAAAAACTCCCGGTTGATATCAAATAGGCTTCACTTCTAGATTCTTTCATCTTTATATGGTTTCACCTTCTTTTTTTTTTTTGTGAAGGTGTGGGGGTTAAGGGAATTAGGTGGACTCACATTTCAATTTCCCATTTAGTTAGCTTTGTGTAGCACCTTTGATTTTAGTATTATAAACTAGAGTAATACTATTTAACACCATGGGTGCTAAGCACCCGTCTAGATGATGTGTAAGTGTTGTTAATTGATAGATCTCCTTAAAAGTAGGGAACTGAGTCACACTCAAGATGCCCTATCACTTGCATGCTACCTTGGCCGATACTATAACACCAATGATGCTACATAGCAATATTCAATAAACAAATGCCGGTTTGATTTGGTTTAAGACACTTGTATATACTGTTTGCTCTTTCCTAATGTCATACCAGTTCATAGGTTTGTTAATAAGTGGAGACAAAAGTTGTGATTAGCTAGAAAATAATTGAAGGTGCTAATTATATAGAAGTATCGCTTGGAATTTTAAAGGAGAGATCTGGTATTGCTCTAGTAACAGGTACTATAGTCATATGACAAGTGTGAGTGGCATCTTTCTAGCCTGTTTTTTCATGTCAACACGTCACAATGTATGATAAGTGAAGATATCAGATCCATTTTTGGTCGAATTGATGGGGAAGTGCTTTTTTTGGTACTTTTTATATGGTCTTGAACCTCCACTTTTAGTTATTATTTTCTTATTTTCATGATATTCTGAATTTCATTTTTTGTTCGGCTTAAACCATCACTGGCTATATTTGTGTACTTGGTTTATTCTTGATTGTATTCTCAGATGTCACAATTACACTCTGTTTTCAATCTCGACACTTCTCTGCTACATAGGAAATCTTAAATTGCCTGATTTTACTATTGGTTGGTCTGAGAGAGAGCTATTTCCTTTTAATTTTCCCTTTTCAAGTCATGCATTCTGGAGATTGTCAGTTTTAAAGAATTTCTGACTAACTGGTGAGGTAAGAGTTTGAGTGACGTACCCCATTTTTACTATTTAGCATCACTTTTCCTTTGTTTTCTTATCTGCTAGCCAGCCCTTTTTATAGCCATTTGCATGGAAACAAAGTGACTGAACACAATTATCTGCAGATTGACTTGATCTATAACTGAAATTGTTTTTTGCAAAGAAAATAATAGTCCATGGATGTCATGTTTTGAAGCCTCTCAAAAGTACTTTATTCTTATGACAGTTTATGGAATGATCTTTGGCCTTGGATGCTGATGTAATGTTTAAACTAATAATTCTGACATTCTTGCTCATTTCTATGTTTTCATTTTCTTGAATACCTTTGCTTTTTGTGAATAACAATGGTTTTGCTCCAACATCATAGTGCTTCTGCTAATTGTTATGCATCTTTGATCCAGCTACTTAATTGCATCAATGGGGCTTCAGGTTTTGTGGAGTTTTGGACTTGCCTGCCTTGACATGCATGCTTTGAGGTTCAATAAAGACCTGCATAATCATATCATCGTGAGCTTGTTGGTCGTTGGTGATTGGGTACTTAATTCTCTTTTAGGCTTAATCACGGTTTATGTTTCTCTTCCCTGAAGCAATCAATCGTATTATCAATTTTTAGAATGCTTGGTGATTGAAGATTTTCCTGATTCATATGAAGAATCTGTGGATAATTCCTGACAATCTGTATGATTTCTTAACATTTATTTGCTACTTCCTGATTCTCTCTTCAATTATGAAGAAATGGCAGTTTCTGGTTTAGATATAAATTTATGTCACATGGTTCAAGTTGCTTTTAGTTGTAAATTATTCCCAGTGAGAATCTTTCTTTTCATGGTGAACTTCAACTGAACTGAAGCAGATGTCTTTCAAAAAGGCTATGCTATGTAAACTCGTGAGACTAAAAGATGCAATTCATGATGCAGGTAATAGCAACTCTATCGCTGGCTGCAGCATGCTCCTCAGCTGGTGTCATGGTTTTGTTTAGTAAAGACACAGATATCTGTAAGGCAGATCCCAAATTCTCTTGCAATATATTCCCCGTCTCAATATCATTTGCTTTCGCCTCCTGGTTTCTCCTATCCATATCATCTTATGTAATGCTTTGGCTTGTGGCCTCGATTTGAAAGATTTTGAATGATAAGATGAGTAGTTTTCCAAACGGAGTGTACATTTTGTCAAGTTTGAAGATCCTTCGATTTTCCCCGATGGGATGATCAGTGTGAAACATGATCTGATTTACAGTGGTTCCTGTACTTTAGTAGCCCGATCTGTAAATGAGATCTAAACCTTCAACTTAGGTTTACAGATTCATACATTAGTGAAATAAAACTTTTGTGAGTACCTTCTGCAGTTTTCAATGATACATGATTGTTTTTGTCTGTCTGAATTAAAAAGAGAAGCTTCATAAATTACGGTATTCATATGGTGCATCCAACATTAAATTTGACTAATGGAAATACACGATTTATGATATTCATAGGGAAAATTAAAAGGAAATCCAGATGAACAAATCAATTCTCATTAAGAGAATCATATTTATCATCACGATGATAGAACATCGGTGATTTGACAATCCATTATTCTCCACATTTCTCTCTCTCCTCCCCCTCTCTTTGAATTGTCCAATTCCATTATTCCATATAGATTGTCACGTAATTGATATTTCATCATCATCATGATGTATTAATAGACATTATTCTCTCATTAATACATATTCGATACACATTGTATTCAGTAGTATGACAAACATAATTTTAGTTCTGTGAACCCTACTGAACATACCATCACTGTATTCTTGTCCTTGTACAAGAAAATTACCCCTTTATATTTCAGACATTAAGAATTTGCCATCTGCAAAACTTTTAATTGTAAATCCTACGCAGCTACGCTTGAACGAAGAACATCAATGCCGTCTTGGCAAAGAAAGTTTTGAAGAAAAAACTACCTGAAACATTCACATAACTCATTCAGTGAACCTCACATAGAAAAAATTACCAGAGGGAGCATTTGATAATTTATTTAAGATCATATGTTTATACAGACGACAGCATTTAAAACCTTTACGGACGCGGACAGTTTAGCATTGCTAATATATTCACAGATTACATTCAGAGACCGTCTTTTACAACTTCGAAAGTAACAAATTCAGATACCAAACACATTAACTTATCAATCAGTTGTGGTAACAAAAGCCCTTCACATCACAATCTCTGGATTCAAGATGCTAGATTTAATCTCCTTGTGAGGCAAAACCACGCCACCGTTGCTGTAAATTTCATCACTGACATGAACATCTTCTCCAAGTATGGTCATGTTCTCCACGCGAGCCCACTGCCCAACTGTGGAGTGCCAACCAATAATGCTAGTTGAAATGCATGCGTGTTTCTTGATGCGGACTCCATGCATTAATGTGCAGCGAGAGAGCCGAACACCTGACTCAACTATGCAACCAGAGCCTATAGCAACATCAGGGCCAATCAAGCATCCCTCACCAATTTTAGCACTCTCATCCACTAGTACATTTCCAATTATATGAGGTCCAGAGGCCAATTTAGGATTAGATTTCTTCTTCAAGGAGTCCAAGTAGAGTCTCAGCCCGGTGATATAATCCCTTGGTTGACCAATGTCCATCCAAAACCCAGGAAGGACCATGGCGTAGAGTTTTCTCTCCGCTGCAATGTCTGGAAATACCTCTTTCTCAATTGATGTGGGGCGTAATTGAATTCGGTCAAGAACAGAAGGGTTCAACAGATAAATGCCAGCATTGATTTTGTTTCCCACAAATAATTTTGGCTTCTCTACGAATCTCTCCACTTGCCCAGTGGATTCTTCCATAACAACAACACCATATTTTGAAGGCTCATCCACCTATATCAGTAAGTAAATTAATTACATTAAACATACATTAAAATCTTACATCAACCGCCATAAGCCTCTAAAATTGTAATTCTGGAAAAAAGCATCCAACATGATCTTACCTTGGTCACCAGAATGGAAGCTTCACCTCCATGGGATTTGTGGAATTTGATCATCTCTTGTAGTGGATATTCACTGATAACATCACTGTTAAGAACAAAAAATGGCTCACCAGAATCATCTACCAGGTTTTCCCTAGCCAAAGCAAGGGGACCAGCAGTTCCGAGTGGCTCAGTCTCTTGTGAGCATGTGATCTTAATCCCAAGCTTCTTTTCAAACTCTTTCAAGAAATTTAGCATTATCTGCAAAAGGAAAAGACTCTCGGTATTAGTGATCTCTGAGTTGAACACGGAAAGATCTCTAAACAATATCATTTAACTGATAAGAACAGAGAGCCAATTACTAATTTACCTCTGGCTGGTAATTGATAGCCAGAACTACTTCAGTCACACCGATGGCTTTGAGAGCTTCAATCTGATCCGAAGGAAAATTGCACCATTATCAGGCATGACAAATGCACATAGTACAGAATTTAAGTATGGATTAAAACTTGAAATGTTTCAAAATGGATCTGTTTGTAAAGATGTAAAGATTGTACCCAAACTCAGATTCTGAAGAATAGCTCAATCAGAAAAGTTACTTCTTGCCAGTGAAACTTAGAAAATGATATAGTTAAGAAAACGAGATGACAAATACAAGCCAAAAATTTTAATGGGCAAACCACGCCAAAATTTGATTCAAAATCAGGATCAGTAAAGTTGAAATGCACTAATACAATAATAAACTCTTTTGTATGGCTGCATAGTAAATTGAAGAGCTGACATCAATAGGAGTAGACATAATGAAGCATAATAGAAGACATAATAGACAAGAAAATGGTACCTGATGCAGGATCATGGGCTTGTTAGCAAATTCAACAAGTGGCTTAGGGACACTAAGTGTCAATGGCCTCAAACGAGTACCAAACCCTCCAACGAGAATTAGAGCCTTCATCTTTAGACTAAGATGATTCCCTTTATCCTAATTACTGAAACACCTGAAATTTTTCAGTAGAGTATTCTTGATAAACTGATATAAAATGCATAAAAAATGTGCTTCCGCCCCTCTATATTTATGAATGCAGTAATGAAGAAGCGTGTAGCACCACGGCACTCCTCATTCACATCTGTAAGTGGGAATCAATGATAAAATGTCTCCGTCTCATCCCTAAAGGCAAAGCTGTCAGTCCTTCGTCACTGTTCTATGCAAATATTGACACGAATACACGGATGCTTCTAGACAAAGAAACCCGTTATGTCCATAACAGGTATGCAACATTAAAACTGATAAAATTTGAAGTGTAGTTGAGGAAAAGGTCAATTTTCCTTTCGCACATTATAAGATAAATGGTAGTGCCAAAGATGTCAAGAATAATCCTTCTAAATGGTTTAGCTGGAAAAAGGAAACAAACTTCCAGCTATACCACAGGACGGAGCTTCAATGTAAAGTAATGAATCCACCAAAGTATTGCATTAGATTACAAGATAAGCATTACAGAGAGTACACAATAAACTGTTGCATAAAAGAGGAAAATAATTACATCGCACTCTCCATTTTCCAAATAGAATCTAATTATCCTGGTCTGAACGACATTCCGGTTCTAATGAATTGAAAAATTACGATCAACCCACGAGAATTTGAATCCTTAAAATCAGAAATTATGAAAATAAAATGCAAGACAAGAAACGACAAATTGAACCATTGATTATGAATTTATGGCTTAATAAAAATACCTGAAATGAAGTAGGTTGAACTTGGAAGTGTGAAGTTTGAGTTCTGAACTGGCAAGTCTCAATTTCAGGCTCCAAAACGATAAAGAAACACACCCGTTTCTGGTTTAAAGAAAGAAGATCACTTAATACCATAAAAGGAACCAATTTACAAAAAAAAAAAAAGGCGAGAGAAAAAAATTCACACAGCCATTCCATGAAAACAGAGAATTTACCGATTCATCAATTCTGGAAATTCTTGCCCTACTTTGGTATCAAAACTCACAGAAATTTTGGATGAGTACTTAGGCTTTTATAACATGAAAATGCAGTATGAACAAAATTTCCTTTTAGTGGTGAAATAACGTGAAAATTACTGATTCGTCCATTAAGACGCTGCAGTTTCGTTGACAAATAATAATTTTGCGTCCCTTTCAAGGAATTTGTTCGCTGAGGGAAATTGGATTGTGTAAATTACTGAATAATTATATTTAATTAATATTCTTAAATGTTCTTCTTTATTTTCCTATTATCTTGTTAAGAATTAATTTTAACTAATCATTTCATAGAGTCTATAACTTATTAATTGCATATTCCATCAATTTTTATCAAAATCTACAAAAAATCTAATTTTAATATATATATATATTCACACACATACACAACTCAGTGCCAAAAAAAAAGATTGGGAGATGGGAGTAAGCCTTACAAAACTGGAAAAGGACTTTTAAATTAAAAAAGAACATTGAACAAGTTGAAGGCATTCAATTCAATGCATCATTTATGTTGACATTAAGTGGGGTTTAGATTAAGTAAATCAGATTATGGGAGCTTTTCTCATACCAAATTCATTTGACTTAAATAGTCACTCTATAATTAGACCTTGTTTCGTACGGATTAAAATTAGATTTTAATTTAAGACAAAGTCAAATAATAAATATTAATCACATCTTTCATGGGTCCCACAACTTTTCAAATATATATTTCAAAAATTTATATCACGTTCTATTAAAAATCTAATTTTAATCTTTACCAAATACTCTCTTAATAAATTCTTATATTCCCACGGCGTAGTTTGAGAAAGATTTAAATTTAGAGACGCTGTAGTATAGAAAAGATATGAGCGAGGAAAAACTTCTAGACGATTTTTTTTATTCCAACTATGAAGTATGTAAGTAGATCAAGATGCAATTAAATTTCAATTTCAGTAACCATATTTATTCGGAACGTGACTCATTATTAGACACATGACTGGTTTTTTCTTTTTTATTATAAATTATTTTAGCCCATATTTGTTCTCAATTTTTCAAAATTTAGGGTCCGTTTGATTGTAAGAATGAAATTTGGGTGGAAAGAAAATGAATTTCAGGGATTGAATTGCCTAGAACTTGTTTTACTGAAAATTATCAATTAATTGTGTTTGATTGGTATAATTTTCCACCTGAAAAAAATTGAAAATTTGGATCTTTTGAAACTTGTTTGGCTTTGTTTTTCATGAAAATTGTCCATTAAAGGAATATAATTTCTTTACATTGTCAAAAAAAAAATTTTAAAAAAAAGGTTGCCCAGAAAAGCTTTTCCCACCAAAGTGGTGGAAAAAATTTTTCTTCAAAAATCAAGAAAATGTGAGCATGTGGGTGAAAGATGAAAAATCAATTCTAGGAAAAATTTGGACAATCAAACATGCAAAAATGAGGAAAATATAATTTAATTTCCATCTTCCAGAGAATTAAAGTGCAATGCCTTATTATTTTTTTTTCCAAATTCATTATCAATCAAAATTTGGTTTTTAATCAAACTAAACAGGGGGCTTAAATTGTGAGTCCATGGGCTGCCGGCTGGAGACCCCTAAATTTCACCTGGATTTTAGGCACAAAGTTGAGATCTTGACCCTTCCAACTGTACACGTTTTTATTTAAGTATTTCTATGATGTAAATCGGAGCCATTGCATCAATTCTTCAAGTACATAAATAGGATAAAAATCTCTATTTTAATTTTCTCTTCTTTTATATCGTTTTTTGGCACGTAGCCATGTTAGAATTTGACACAAATATTCTTCAGGCTCTATTAGAAAACTCTTGCATAAATAAATTTAATGGATTTTATAAAGGTTCGAATTCATATGCACGGTTGGAGACCTTAACTTCTATGAATAACTAATGCATAGTGTAACTCAGTGCAAATGTCTTTGAGCGTTAGACCATGCTACATATATATAAATGTTGATACGTTGGTTTACATCTATGTAAGTTGTCAGATTTTGGTACATTAATCTTGACAACACATTTTTCATTCAATTGTCAGATTTTTGACATATGAAAAGATGTCAATCAAGGTGTACGCTTTGTATGTACAAATAGTTTAATTCTTGAGCGTTTGTTTCTTTTTTGATTTTACAGTGCAATATTGCCTTTAAGAAATATCATTAATTATAAGGAATTAGACGAGTTAATTTTTTTCACAAAAAGAACACGGTGCTTCTGAACCACGACTTCAAATGTAAAGCGAATAGAGAATAAAAGAGAAGGGATAAGAGGTTAAAAAATGTTTTTCCTTAATCCACACACGACGACTTAAAATGGATGCTTTTCAATTGAAAGAACATCAAACTTAACAACTCAGGAAATCAATGCATACCCAATCAAGCAAACTTAGTAAAAGAATTGTAAAATTGTGGATCCAATAATTAGCAAGAAAATACCATGTACGCAAATTCTAAAGTTAATAAAAGATCATTTAAGAAGAAAATCCAATCAAAATTTAGTTTACGGAATTTTTATAGATATACACTTGGCGATTTTTCATTTGTTCATGGTAAAAAAAAATCCAATCAAAAACTGCCAACACAGCATCTAGAATACTTTTGTGAGACATTTTCTATACATACGGGTTTTTCCTAGGGTTGTACTACATGTAATGGATTGTGTACATTTAGACTAATCCTTTTTCCTAACTCGGTAGACATTAATTATCGACTTGAGAGAGAGAGATAAATTTTAGCATTGAATGCCAATGGTCTTTCAAATAGTTAATAGTGCAACACCAACATTTGTATGAGAATGATAAACACCCCTTTAGTTATTATATCATTTGTAATAAAAAAGAGGTTGAACCCCGACTTTGAGAGCCCCCACCGCCCCTGTCCATAGAGCACTGTGGAAGAGGTAAATCACGGGATGTGCCTCAACAGGTCAGGGTACAAGAGTATATTAATTGATTTGGTGTATTCAAAAACGAATTTGGATGTCTCTATTTATAGAGATTGAAGTGTCTCATTGAATGGGTGTGTGACATATCATGAACTGGTGCACCACTTGGTCTGATTCGTCTTAACCATTGGATCGCATCATATCATGATATGACGGCCCAGATTAAATCATGAAGTGTAGTGTCCTTCCATCATACCTATTCACCAGTCATGCAGATGTCATGCGTACATCCAACTGCCATGCAAGACGAAGTGACGTCACATGTTACGTGTGTTCCACCTAGGATGCCAACTCATCGAACCTCTAAAGCGCCCAATGCAAACTTTGCGATGTACGCAGGTCGAGGCCTAGGCCGGGCTGGGACCGAGGCCGAGGCCAAGGTGCGGGGCAAGTGGTGCGAAGCACCACTCTAGTGGTGGCTAGTTTGCTAGCCTTTGGCTAGCTAAAGTTAGCTAAGTTGTAGGTCACTTATTAAATTATAACTTGTACACACATCCCACTATATAAATAAATCTCTTTTCTTGTAAATTTTCGATGTAGGATTCCTTACCATATAGAAGACACTTAAAATTGGGCTTATCAACTTATGGGTCTATATTGGAGACTTTTCCAATTCATTCAAATTAATTGTAATGGCCCACATCATTAAATATCACATTTAATGATTTAATACACTTAAATTCAATTAATTCCAACATTTATTTCGATACTTTATTTTCCTTATTAAGTTAAAAAAATATACACATTATCTTCCTTCTTTCCCTTGTACTCTACTTCTTTCCTTTCTCATCTCCACTTGGCTTTCATGGCTTTTGCAGTCTTTCCGGGGGTCCATAAATACTTCAGAACTTCATGTCCTCTTCATATTTAAATTTTTTTTTTTTTTAGCATTGTTAACAAATATATAGTCAATAACCAACTTTCTTGTGATCAAATCTG